AAGTATGTTCTGGAACTGGATATACTTACAATTTCAAAGTATATGCAGGGAAAGAAAATAGTTCTAACGTCACTCCAGAAAGCGTTGTTCTGTATCTTATGGGAGATTTAGTACATCAATGAAGAATTTGATAACCGACAATTGGTATACAAGTTTACCGCTAGCAAAAAAATGTTGTCCGTCGATACACACCTGATAGGAACTGTTCGAAAAAATCGAAAATATTTACCCCAAGAAGTAGTAGCTGCAAAATTAAATAAAGGGCAGATTGCTTCTATGGAAAGTGATGATGGAGTGACCATTACGAACTGGAAAGACCAAAGAAATATTTACATGCTTTCTACTAAACACGGCAATGAAATGGTCGAAGTATCTTGTAATCGACAAACTAAACTGAAACCCAAGGTGGTAATAGATTACAATAAAGTCAAAGCGGCAGTAGACTTATCTGACCAAATGGGAGCGTATTCCAACCCCCTAAGGAAAAGCGTAAAACGGTTTAAAAAAGTGGGGTTTGAATTATTATTAACTACGTCAGTTATAAATTATTTTTTAATATATAAGCTTGTAACAAATAACAACATATCGGTGACAGATTTTAAAAAACAAATAGTGAAACATCTAGTTACTTATAAAGCCACTACTGTACCACGAAGTGTGTCAAATAATCACCATCAGCTTGAACAGAAGGCAGACGGAAGTAAACATCAACGAAGGAAGATTTGCAAGAACTGCTACAAAAAAAAATAGTGAGCAACACGGCCGTCAGTATGCTATGAACAAAACTAAAAAGGTAGACACCTTTTGCAAAAGCTGTGACAAGGAACCTTTTCTGTGTATAGGTTGTTTTAATGAATTACATAGAATTTAAATAACTTTTTTTTATTGGTTGTTTTACATTATTTGATTTTTCTGTTGTTGAAAAACACGTTTGTATCAATAAATATCATCCCAAAGTTGTAAATAACATTTTTGACTTATATGGGACCACATTTGTCATACTCCATAAATTGCACAAATTCTCTATACAGCACATAGCTTGTAGGCCTCGTTGGTCTATTCCCATGGTGATTTAATACTAAATAAACACCAATGGCTCGGTACATATCGGAATAAATGTTGGTCCCATAGGGCCAACAGGGCCTGTTAATGCAATACTTGAGTTGGTCCCATTGGACCAACGTGGCCTATTGAAGCAACATCAGTGATGGTCCCATCGGACCAACATGGCAGCGAACGTGTTAAAAACGATCTGGTAAGATACGAAAAAATTTCCCAAGTAATACTTTTAAATAAATGTTGACTAAATCTAATAAACACCAACATATTCTCTAAAACTGGTTAAACATAATTTGGCTCTGGTATATTTTCTGAATGTCAGAATTTAAGAAATTTTTCTTCATTTTTTATAACTTAAAATACACTATGTAAATAGGTAAAGGGTGTTTTTTTTAAGAATAGAACTTTGAAATGGAATAAATCAAAGATGATCTTTATCGATTAATATGAAATTGACTTAACTCGAAAGATATTCTTTTGGCATTTTAATTTAAATATGATTGTTGGCATAAGACCGTCATGGCTGGCTCTGATGTGGTCTAATCTGTAGGTCTAATTTTCGATAACTTTTTTCAATATTTGTCGCCGTATATCGGCAATAACGCGGCCAAGGTAGTCCTACAAGTAGTCAATCGATTTATGCTTATCGGCGTAGACTAGCACCTTTGCATATCCTCACATAAAATAGTCTAGCAATGTTAAATCGCAGGATCTTGGAGGCCAATTCATGGTCCGAAACGTGAAACTATGTGGTAACCAAACGTTTTCTTCAATAAATCAATTGTGGCACGAGCTACACGAGACAGATCCTACACCTTATAGTTGTTTAATTGATGAATGAAAAACGGAGTAATCATGGCTCTATAGCGCTTACCATTGACTGTAACATTCTGGCCAGCATCGTTTTTAAAGAAGTTCGGTCCAATGATTACAAAATACTATAAAGCATATCAAACAGTCAGTTTTTCTGAATGTAATGGCTTCTCAACATACATTTGAGGATTACCTTTACTCCAAATAGGGCAGTTTTGTTGGCATAGCCATTCAACCAAAAGTGAGCTTAATCGCTAAACAAAACTCGCTTATGAAAATCGGAATCAACGGCAATATCGTTTTCGACATAATTACCGAATCTACGATTCTACGCCTTGCTAGGTGATGATGTGCCTTCAATTCTTGCATGAGTTCAATAACTTCTTCTGTACGCACTGTACGACATGTCTGTGCTTCATATTATCATTTAGAATAAACGTGGTGTAAAAACGTTCCATGGTTAGTCGAATTACTTGCTCTGATGGACTAATATGTTGATCATAAAATGGACGTAGTGCGCGATCCGTATATCGAAGAGAACCTCAATTTTCAAAATAAATTTGTAAAATTTGAAAGCTTTGTTCAGGCGTCAAGTCTATTCATGCCGAAATACTAAACCAATCTTAACATAAATTACTTCTTCTTCTTTTTGTGCCACTCCTATCGGAGATTGGAAATCATCAAGGCTATTCTGACCTTGTTTACGGCTGACCTAAAGAGTTCATTAGTGGTGCAGCCAAACCACTCTCTCAAATTCCGCAACCATGACATTCTTCTACGGCCTGAATTCCGTTTTCCTTCTATTTTTCCCTGCATTATATTTTGAAGTAATGCGTATTTATGTCCTCTCATCAGGTGACCAAAATATTCGAGTTTTCTTCGCTTTAGCGTTAACAAAATCTCTGGGTCTTTTCCTATTCTTCGTATTACTTCACAGTTTGTTAATCTTTCAACCAAACTAATCTTCAGCATTCGACGGTAGCACCACATCTCGAAACTTTCAATATTTTTCATGTTGTTCTGTTTAAGAGTCCAGGCCTCTACACCGTATAATAGCGTGTTAAATACATAGCCTCTCAGCATTCTTAATCGTAGAGGGATGCTTATATTTCTGTTGCAGAAGAATTTTCTTATCTTTATGAAGGTGGCCCTGGCAATTTCGATACGTCTTTTTATTTCACTGTTTTGGTCTCCAGTTTCGTTTATTAAAGTTCCCAAGTATTTTTAACTTGATACTTTTTTAACTTGAGTGCCGTTTATACTAATATACGCTGGTTGTGTCATGTTTTTACTGAAGACCATATACTTGGTTTTTTTAATATTGATATTTATACCATAATTGTTGCAAGTAATATTTATGTCTGTAAGTAATCTTTGTAATTCTTCTACTGTTCTTGCAACTAGTACAGTCTCGTCCGCGTATCGAATATTATTTACAATCTCTCCATTAATTACGATTCCTCCGTTTGCTTGTAAAAGGGCTTCCTGACAGATGCTTTCACTATATACATTAAATAACAGAGGTGACAAAATGCAACCCTGTCGTACTACTCTATGTATTTCTATTGCTTGTGATGTTTCAGTTTCTATTCTGATGTTAGCTTTCTGATTCCAATATAGATTGAGAATTATTCGCAGATCTTTATTATCTATGTCCTTCCTTTCAAGAATCTCTCTAAGCTTATCATGGCGTACTCTGTCAAACGCTTTTTCAAAATCGATAAAACACGTATGTACCTCCTGATTAACGTCTAGGCATCTTTGTGTAAGAAGATTCAAACCGAAGAGAGCTTCTCGAGCACCAAGCCCTTTTCTGAACCCCATCTGTGTATTACTAATATCTGACTCCAACTTTTGATCAACTCGGTTATGGATGATTTTTAGAAATATCTTTAGTAGGTGGCTCATTAAAGATATTGTTCGATGTTCTGAACATTCTTTAGCATTAGATTTCTTTGGCAGTGTAACAAATGTAGACAACAGCCACTCTTGAGGTATAATACCAGTATTGTATATTGTTGTATTAAATAAGTGCAATATTATATCTATTGATTCATCATTCAAGAGCTTTAGCAATTCGGTAGGAACCTCATCCGGTCCATTTGCCTTCCCAGTTTTGGAATTTTTAAGTGCCATTTCTACTTCACATTTTAGAATTTCAGGTCCCGTTTCGCCAGATATCAGAACAATGTTATTTCTGTTGTCCTCAAATAATTCTCTTATGTATTCACTCCATCTATTAATTTTCTCTGTTAAATCTATAATAATCTTTCCATCTTTGTTCTTAAGCAAATTTATTTGACGTCTTCTTTGGGTTCCTGTAATTTCTCTTACTTTTTTATGTATATTGAACGTGTCATACTTTCTTTCATAGTTTTCCATTTCTACACATTGTACTGTAATCCATGATTCTTTGGCATTTCTTATTCTTTGCTTTATGTTCTTATCAACCTCTCTGTATTTTTCTGCATTATTCTTCATTTTACGTCTTTCATCCATTAGTTCTAGAATGTCTGGTGTCATCCACACCTTATGTTTCTTTGCAGATTTGGTTAGGTGTTTCTTTCCCGTAGTTTTTATTATAGTATTTATATACTTAAGTTTTCATCTATGTTGTCTGTTCTGCGGATTTGGCTTTCTGCTACACTGAGGCTGGTGTTTATTTCTTCTCGCACTGTTTGTCGTATATGTTCATTTTTAAGCTGGCTTAAGTCTAATGCTGGAATGATGGCTTTTCTTATTTTCTTTGGTCTAGCTTCTATCACAGATATTACTGGATTATGATCTGAACCGATATCAGCTCCAAAGAAAGTTTTAGTAGATTTACGGCATTACGGTATCTTTTTGTCACCAATATGTAGTCTATTTGGTTTCTTTCTGGAAAATTACTTCACAGTCACAGTGCATTTAATATCGACAAAAATCGACTGTTAGTTTATAACATTTATAAGTTTTTTTGTAGATAACTGGTAATACAAATTTTTGATTATTGGAAAATTCTATTCGTATAATAAGTTTTTATGGTTTTTAAAACAGTTAATTCTGACATTCAGAAAATTCACTGCAATTATTAATTCAATGGACAATAGAAAAAAAAACAACAAAGTATAAACACATCTAAAACTTACAAAGACTAACGGTAGGGTATCCAGTTTTAAAGCACTGTCGTCTAGCTATGGCATCTAAACTGGTAGCATGCGAAACTCTATTCTGTATGACGTGATGTTGCCTAAAACGAAACAGATGTAAGTCATAACAATTTAAACATATTTATTTGGAGTACAGTTACTATTAAATTATAAAATAAACTTGTTTGTAAAACTTGGAAGATATTTACTTTTTGTAAATGCATTTGTGTAAAAGATAAATTAATTCAAATGTCTGGGGAGTCACACCGGTCTTATATACTTTTTTATTCTAAACAACTAATAAGATGTTTATTAAAACTAGGGACAGACTCACTCGTATCACTTAGGCTTTAACAATTCACTAAACAAATATTAACATATACAATGTGCATCTAACTTTGCTTTGTTTTTAACTGTTCACTTAACTAACCCAAAGTGCTTGTTACTTCTACTTATTTTACCAAACTATGTGTTGTTCTATAGCTAGATGACCTCAACATTGTATTTTTAAAGAAGTTGTTATTCGTGACGTTTTCCACACTATAACAGTCTTGTTCTCAAAGTTTTGTAAAGGTTGACATGACAATTTGCACTTTTTTATGGCAGTTTTAAAAATTTAAACGTATTACAAGTCAAAAATGAAGATGGATGGGACATGTTTCACGAATGAAAGGCGGTAGATAGATAAAAAATTGCTTGAGTAAAGACCACGGGCAGACAAGCCAAGCCAATCCGGGAAAGACCCACAACATGGTGGACCGAAGATCTCAAAAAAATTGCGACCAATAATTGGATTTCACAGATGAACATATTTCTAGAGGAGGCCTATGTTCAACATACTACAAACATGGACAAATTAGGGCTTAAGTTGGCGATAATAACAATAAATCTGACAAAGGTAGTTTTTATGTTTACCAAGTACTTCCCTCTATTAATTCGTACGTTTCGTATAAAGTAAACATCTATTTAAATTTTCAAGGAAAACATCGACGCTGCCGTAGAGCCATTTACAAATTGCATTCTTACTGCAGCCGACCAAATGTATAGTTAAATACACCATAAGTTCCTCAAGAAAGGCCGTCCCATGATCGAAGGACTTCTGTAAACTCGAAATAAAAGAATACAAGAAGGCTCTTAATCGATCGCACAAAACTCGTAGCATCGAAGATCGTATTCATTTTAAGAAAATGCGTGCAAAATCCAAACGAATTCTGAAGAAAAGCAAAAAAGAATCCTGGAAAAAATTTGTTAACAGCATATACCCATCTTCAGATACCCCTCCCACCCAAGTATGGACAAAAATTAAACAAATGAGGGGTTTAAACACATATCGTAAAATATCCGCAATAACAGATGAAGATAATGTCATTACAAATGAAAACCAAATAACTGAAACGCTAGCCAAATACTTTCAAAACAAAATTAACTCTGAACTCTCTATTTCGTACCCCAAAAACCACTCACCACCTAACCCTATCCAAACCAATCCAATTAACCTTGCGTTCACAGAAGTGGAGTTAAATTTGGTAATCTCATTATTAAAAAAACTCATCTGCAAGTCCTGATTACATACCGTCTATCTTTCTCAAATATCTATAGGAACCCTCTTGAAACTACTTGCACTCTACAATAAGATATGGTTCAGCAAAAGCTTTCCGACTCTTTGGCGACAGTCACTTACCATACCGATCAGAAAAAACGGCTTCCAGTTCCTACAAGCCCATCTTATTAACATCCAGAATGTGCAAACTACTAGAAAATATGATAAATAAACGTTTGCTTTGATTTATTGAAGAAAACAATCTAATATATGCATTACAGTCGGGATTCAGACCCAATCGAAGTACAATGGATACCCTGGTACTTCTCCAAACAGAATTAACCCAAGCTATATCAAATCAGAATGACATCATTATAGTTGCCTTAGACTTAAAAAGTTCCTTTGACACAATAAACAGAGCTGCTATTATGAGAAATCATTAGCAATATGCACCGATTCTCTCTCCGCAATTGACTCAATCAGAAATATATACTCCATGCATCCCATTGTACAGTACATTCACATTATCTGCCAACAGCAGTCAAAACTGCTGGTGTTTCAGTGACTATCATCTGGATAGCATCCCATGTTGGTATCAATGGAAATGAGAACGCTGATCATGCAGCAAAACTGGCCTGCTCCTTAGAAAATATGGAAAACATACAACTTCACCAATACCTAAGGGCCAGTATGCGAACACACTGAAACGTGCAAAATACAATATGCACAACTGTTACCTCCATCAACATTCCCCAAATGAGCGGAAAAGACAATATTATTATCAGAAGGCTCACAATAGGTCACACCCGTCTTGCTCATGAATATTTGATTTTTTCTGAAAGCTATCCTCGCTGTGAACATTACTGTCCAGCACATATTACTACCATGTATCCACTACAAATATCAAAGAGACTACTACTACTTTCAAAATAATTTAAGTGATCTACTCAGTTCTACAAACACGCACAGTGCCATAATTCGCTTCCTAAAAGACTGTCACCATTACTACTTTAGTATAATTATATTAAGATGTTGCTAATGTATCCTAACTTGTATATAAACAGATTGTATATGTATGTAAACATAAACATATTATAATAAACTTTGTACCATTGTCAATGGCCCATAATTGCCGAGACACTTTATTTAAAATAAAAAAGAAACATTTATTTATACTCTTCATTTCCAATATTTTAGAAAAATTAGTGGAGTTTCTTTAATTTTTGTATTTTTTCATTCCAATTTGTTTTATTTCGAACTGTTATCATTACTTAACTCTTAGAACATATTTACCAAAAAGTGACTTTGTTTTCTCGTCCTTGTTCTGCAATTTTTAGAATCTGTCGTGCTTTTATTGTATTTTTAAAACACTAATCAAAAAAATTTCATAAATAATATCTCAAGATAAACATTTTTTACGTAAATTTTACTTATCTCGCCAACTTTTAAACAACATTTGGGAAAATTAATGACGATTCTAGTATAATTTAAACTCTTTCGTCGCTCCAATTGCAATTTACGAAACGGAGACCTTGCATGCAAAAACAAGTACGTGGAATTCGTAGACGCAAACACAGAGGGTGAATCATTCCTCCTTAATATTTACATTTATTGAGTACTGTAATCGAATTAAGTCCATAAATATTGGTATTAGAGTAGCTTTATAAATATAAAAAACAAATGTTTATAAAAATAAAGATCAAAATATGTACTTGACAAACGTAGTAAACTTGAAATAAGACATTTTCACAAAACTTAAGTGATGATTTACTTGTTTCTTACTTTACTTAAGCGATTAAGCTGCCATCGCAAAATTCTTTGTTTTGAATAGTGTATCGCTCGTGAAAAATCATTAAAAATGAAGTAAAACTGTATAAATAACCAGTCTGAAACTTCGCAGCAAAAAATAGACTGAGAAATTTCCATGTCTTCTTCTATTTATTGTTTTTAAAACTACTTCTCTTATTTTCAGTGAGAAACACTACCAATTACCAATGTTTAACACACCTATTCTACAATTAAGGTTTTTAAATTTACTCTATTTTAGTGAACTTATTAATGATCAAATATTACGTAGGTCGTCTAGAAAGTAAAGAACGATTGCACATCAGGTGCAGCACCGCCCCCGCTTCACAGGAATTATATCTGCGCTAGTTAATACTGTCTGTCTCATCGGTGTGAGCCAAGTCTTGTTACTGTGTGGTCACGTGTCTTTGCTATACATTTTGCAATGGTAGCGCCCATTGAAAATCCAGCAAAATGTAAAGTACATAGTGTGATTCTGTGTCTAAATACCAACATGTTCGCCTTTCAACATTTACAGGCAAATAAAGGCTATGTTTATAGGGAACATGTAATGGAAAAATCTTCAATAAGAAAATGGTGCATTATGTTCAACCAAGGAAGAACCAAAAGAATATTGATGGTTACTATTTTTTGCGACAGTAAGGGTTTAATCTATGTAGACTTTATAACTAGGAGTGAAGCAATAAATTTAAATGATTGCGAAATTATTTAAAGACTAAAACGGGCAATACAGAATAAACGACGCGACATGTTGTCGAAGAAGGTGTTTCTGATTCACGACAATGCTCGGTTCCATGCGTCGGCCAGAACTTTAACGTCTACAATAAGGAAATTGTCGAGCATCCTTCCGTTAACTAAAATCTCGCGCCGCCTGATTATTATCTGATCTTGAAACTGAAAGAATTTTTGGACAGAAATGAGTTTGGAAACGACGAAGAGCTCAACGATGAAATGATATCCAGGCTCAGGAGTTTGGCGGTAAAGAACTATAACACCGGCATCGAATAACTGATTCCACGGCACGATAAATGTTTTGACTTTCAAGACAACTACATAATAGACAACTAAAATAGAATAAAATACTATGACTTTGTAAATCAAATTTAGTGTTGATATCGTTTGAGTTTCCTCTATTTATTTCTGTCCATAGCCGCAGGTCCGAAATTTGTTATCCAGATTATTTATAAGTCTTTATTACACGCTTTTAATTGCCTTTTTCGCAGTTGTCCTCTTTTCTTCTTTTGTTATCCTCTAAGCAACGAGTCCCTTGACCACCTTTCATCTGACATTCTCGCTACCCATTTAAGTCTCGTTGTTCTGACGATCTAGCAAATTTCTGGTTTCCCGTATAGTTCTTCGACCTATACATTTGTTGATTTCTTCCAAATATCTTTATAACCTTTTACTGCGAATATCTTTTTTATAGCACTTTATTCCTAGATTTTCCTATTTCCGTGCGTTGGATTACCATTTGCTAATATTACTTTACTTTTTTGCATGCAGTTATTGGTGTAGACATTTTATGATCAGAGAAGGGATTTTTATTAAGGGAGATTGATCTCGGTAGAAAAGATAATATGAAGATGATTTAATAGATATCAAAAGAAAGAATTAAGGTTGGTAATCCTCAATTCTTTCTTTTGATACCTATTAAATCATTAAATCGGTTTTTACAAAGAACAAGTAAAAATAAGTAAAGGCGTGAGACAAGGCTGCATATTCTTCCTTCTGCTCATAACATATATGTGTAAAATATTTTTTAGCTCGCTCAGCAGAATGAAGAAGGCATCACAATAAATAGAATTCCAATAAATAATACCTGTCATATGCTGATGATACAGCTATCATAAGAGGCAATGTAAAAGAATAATAAGAGATAGTAAGTAATATTATTACAGTGTGAAAGGATAATGGTTTCAATAGTAATATCACAAAAATTAAATTAAGGATAATCAGCAGACAATTCCATGTAAAAGACTTAATAAAACTCAATAAATTGAGAGATTTAAATATCTTGTAGCTACCTTAAACAGGGAACTGCGACAAAAAAGTAAAGATACAAGTAGCAATAGCTAAAAATATTTTTACCAGATTAAATAACTACATTTGCCAGCGTAATACCCGTTTGGGTTTTCATATTCACATCTTAAAATGCTAGATATGGCCAATAATAATCTACGGTAGAGAGAGCACTTAAAGTAAGAACGCTCAACTGTATTAAAGTGTTTGAAATGTAGTACCTGAGAAGGTTGCTTAAAATTTCATCAGTCGACCATGTTACAAAAGAGAGCCTTTGAAGCATCGCTAAACAGTGATTTACACCATATTTTGAGAGGCCAGATATAATATTTTTAAATTCATTTCCATGGGCAAAATTGAAAGTCGCAGAAAACCAAGTTGCAAATAGCGCTCATGGTTCAGAGACATAAGAAACTGGTGCGACATACCTGACATCAGTCCAATAATTAGGAAAGCAGTAGAAGGATCTATGCTCATAATCGATCCAGCATGAACGCCTACACGCTGCATAGCGAACGGCACCACAAGAACAAGACTTAAAACTATTCTAATTGTAAATTTTCTGACAATTATAAATGAATTATATTATTCTAAGAGTAAGACTTAAAATAGCTCCATGACAAATACAAATCATACTACGGCCCCGAGTCTCCAGCGTCCCTTTAATGGGACAGGGGTGCTAAGAATCTCCGGAGGGAAAAATAAAAATAAAAATAGATCATTAATAAAACATATTGCTACGTGGAATGTTAGAACTTTATATCAATCAGGAAAGCTAAAAAATGTACAACTCGAAATAAAACGTCTGGGCCTGCAAGTCCTTGGAATTAGCGAAGCTAGATGGACCGGATCGGGAACTGTAAAAAGTGGAGGTTATATTACTTATTACTCCGGAAAAACGGATGATGTTTAACTCCGGAAAAGTGGAGGTTATATTACTTATTACTCCGGAAAAACGGATGATGTTCATGAAAATGGTGTTGCTATAATTCTTGAGGAACGACTTGAAAACCTGGTTGACAAATTTGTTCCTCTTTCAGAGCGAATAATGATTCGCTATGAGCGATTAACGAACTATTAAAAGTAATATTAATATAAACTTAATAAAAATATACGCTTCTACAAGTAACAGTACAGACAACGAAATTAATGAATTTTACGATGTATTAAAGCAAGCAATAAATAACACAAAAAAATACAAAATTTGTGTAATAATGGGAGACTTCAACGCTAAAGTAGGAGAGGACATAACTTCCAGAATCACTGGATGATTCGGTCTTGGGGAAAGAAACGAAAGAGGTGATAGATTGGTGGAGTTCTGCCAAAAGGAAAACTTTGTTATCACCAACATATGTTTTAAACAACCAAAAAGATGTCTCTATATATGGATATCACCGAGAGATGGCCATGATAGTGTAATGCGTAACCAAATAGATTATATTATGATTAGCAATAGATTTCGAAACTCATGTAAATGTAATAAGACACATCCAAGTGCCGACGCAGCCACCGATCACAATTTACTGCCATCTAGAATTAACCTAAAATTAAAGACAATCAAAAATCCTTCCATTACAAAGAAATACGATAGACAAAAACTAAAAGAAGAAGATTTAAACATCACTTTGAACAGACAATGAATGAAAAAATTCGAGACAACATCACACAAGTATACAATGTACCAACAGTCAAAGAAAGATGGGATAACATAAAGAATGGTATCATCGATACAGCATCGCAAAGTGGAACTGTCACCGATTATAAAAAGCAAGCGTGGATGAATGATGAAATAATCGAAATGATGGACGAAAAAAGACAGCTTAAATATAGAAATAACTCAGAGTATAAACGAAAGCATAATCTGATTCGAAGAAAAATCAGGGAAGCCAAAGAGTTATGGATGCGAGCAAAATGTGAAGAACTAGAAGAATTGCAACGAAAACATGACGAATTTAACACACATAAGAAAATAAAAGAAGGTACAGTATACAAAAGAAATACACCGATAACATTAACGAATAATGAAGGTCATGCACTATCCCTAGAAGACGAAGTAATGGAGGAATGAAAAAACTACATTAAAGCATTATTTAAAGATGATCGAGGATCACTACCTAACTTAAGTACAAATACAGGACCATCAATCTTAAAAGCTGAAGTGGAAAAAGCCATACACCAAGCCAAAAACAACATAGCCAGTGGACCAGATCAAATATACAGCAAATGGCTAAAATTACTTTCAAATTACAATATAAAAGAATTCACTTTACTTTTCAATCAAATAATAATATATGATACCAGTGCAATTCCATCTGACTGGTTAAAATCGATCTTTATTCCTCTACCTAAGAAACCTAACGTTAAGAAATGTAGCGATTGTAGACTCATTAGTTTAATGAGCCATGCCGTTAAAATACTATTGCATATTCTTCTAAACCGAATTAACAACAAGTGCGAAGAAATAATTAGTCAAAAGCAGTTCGGGTTCCGGAGATGCCTTGAAACTAGAGAAGCACTATTTTCTATGCAAACACTTCTTCAACGATGTTAAGAGGTAAGAAAACCCGTATATATGTGCTTCATTGATTTTGAAAAGGCATTTGATCGCGTTCAGCATACCAGACTAATTACCGCCTTGCAGAGCATCCAACTCGATGAGAAAGACATCAAACTTATTGCCAAACTTTATTGGAACCAAACAGCCATTATTAATACCAACAACAGAGAATAAAAGCCAATCAGTATTGAACGAGGCGTAAGACAAGGCTGTATACTATCTCCCACCCTATTTAACGTGTATTCTGAGAATCTATTTAGGGAAGCTTTAAAAGATCAAAAAGGAATTATCATAGGAGGAGAATTAATTAATAACAATATACGGTACGCTGACGATACTGCGATTCTAGCTGAAAACATCGACGATCTGCAGGAGCTAATCAATAGAGTTGACATGGAATGCACAAATTGGGGACTGTCGATAAATATCGATAAAACTAAATACATGGTGACCAGTAAAGTGGATATCGGTGCAACCCAACTGATATTAAACCAACAACCGCTGCAGAGAGTTCAGAGATTCAAATACCTTGGATGTTGGATTACCCAAAATTTAGATCCATCCTTCGAAATTCGATGTAGAATTGAACAGGCAAGAAACTCATTTCAAAAATTTAAGCCTCTATTATCCAATAACTCATTAAATTTGGAAATCCGTAAAAAGTTTACAAGATGTTACGTGTGGTCTGTACTTTTGTATGGATGTGAAACTTGGACTTTAAACGCCGATATCATGAATAAAATCGAGGCGTTTGAGATGTGGTTGTATCAAAGTATACTAAAAATTCCATGGACTAGCAGAACCAGAAACGACGAAGTTCTTCGAAGAATGGGACATCAACGAACTGTATTAAATATTGTGAAGAGGCATAAACTAGAATATCTTGGACATATAATCAGAGGACCAAGATATGAGTTCCTTCGGCTAATTCTCAACGGTAAAATCGAAGAAAAAAAATGGATGGGACGGAAGAAACTCTCTTGGTTGAGAAATTTGCGGCAATGGGCAGGTTTGACAGCGGACCAATTGCTACACGTAGCGCAAGACCGAGATCAGTATAACAATATTATAAGCATGGTAGTCGCCCGACGTTCCGTAAGGATATGGCAGTCTAAGAAGAAGAAGACTTAAAACTATTCTTATTGGAAATCTTCCGACAATTATAAATAAATTATATTACCCAAAGAGTAATGTTAGCTGTACAACTGATTTATTAAGTGGTGTACACGTTATAAAAATATTTAATAGTACTTTTACAATACAAGTCTTGTTACAATGACCAAACAAACCGTTGCGTTGTCTAAAACCCGCCTAATATCCCATAAAAGTGATACCTATAAATCTATAAGCATTCTTGTACTTTGGTCTAACATGCTATCACTTTAAATCACCAAGGTTTCCTTTATTCCAAAAATAAAACCGTTTTGAAAGTATCACAGTTCAAAACGTTTTAACATTAATGTGGTATATAAGATGTTAATTGCCAAAATAACTTACCTATTACTATTATTTGTGGAGTGGAGAGGTCGAGTCCTTTCAATGCTCTCTCCCCTCTCGAAGGAGGCCTGATGACTGGCAGGTGCACTATGTGATATCGTCAAGGCCGTATAGTCTTTTATTTGAGCAGATGAAGGGATGGTGGTCTGTAAAGGAACTGCTGCCACTTCTGGCTTCGAAACCCATGTCTGTTCTAAAATCGGCGTGGGTGCACTCGAAGTCAAAGGGCTAAAAGTATACAAAAATGGTAATTACTGGATTTAAATCCAGAAGTTACTGAGTAGATGTGATTTTAGGTCTAAAGCGGGTTACGGAGGAGTAAATATAATAAAATGATCTCGTACGTTTTTGTAACAAATAATTGCAAGAACGGATAACTACGTCAGGAATTTAATCAGGAAGTGAACTACAGCAATTGAAGTGCAATTGTTTTAGTAGCTAACCATATTCCTGTTTTTTTTTACTGTGTTTGTATTGTGAAGTGACAAGTGCAGTGAAACGTCTCCATAACGCACACCAACGGAGAAAATAATTATTAAAAAAAAAAAGGTTAAATCTTTGTAAATGGGTATATTTAAAAAATTATTACTGTATTATTGTATTATTATACCATGCGGTCCATATTTATGGAATAAATTCATTTTTAGTGTTATTAAGTACTATGTGAAAAAAGAAACAGGTCGATTTTTATTCTTAAATTGACAATTTACAGTATGAAAATAATATCCCCCTCCAGTACTCCCTTTGAATTATAAGCACCCTCTCGAACATGTTAAATAGCAAAGGGGGTCGTGTAGCACCTTGTTAGAAAGAGATTTTAGTCATCTATTCAGTAATATTAAGTTTATTAAGTTTTTTAAGTTTGGTGCAATTATTACCTAGAAAATTGATTTTTAAAATGTAAATCTTTGATAATGTCTTTACCACAAAACTTTAGGATAAATGAAGATAATAATGTCACATATTATTTAGAATGTAATTTTCAATGTACTTTAAAATTAAACTAAATGTTTAAAATGACCACTATTCACTTTTTGACAATACCCGAGGCGATTTTGGAATTCTCGTACAACATTTTGTACGACTCCGGGAGTTATTTTGTTAATTTTTTCCGTTATCCCAATTTTTCAATCAGCAATACTGTTTAATCCAGTAAATTATACTTTAGATTTTAAATAACCCCATAAAAAGTACTCGAGAGGAGTCAAATCGGGGGATCTAGCCGGCCATTCGATTGTTCAACGTCTTCCAATCCACATATTGGGAAAAACCTCGTTTAAATCATTTCTAATTATAAGTGCAAAATGCGGTAGAGCTCCACCTTGTTGGTAGTAAAAAGGTCCATCTATCTAATTTGGATGATTAACATTAGGAAAAAATCTTCGGATTGTAGGCACTAAAAAGTTAATCAAAAAATCTAGATAAACCCCATCATCAACTGCACCCTCAAAAAAAACCATAAGGACCAATAATTTTATTGTTAATAATACCAGCCCTATCGTTAATTTGTTAGGATATTGCGTGTGAGAGTCACACACTCAGTGAGGATTTTCTCTGCTCCATTATCTACAGTTCGGTTTGTTAACTGTTCCGTTTAAATGAAACGTCGCTTAATCAGAAAAAAAAACTATTTTGTTTATGAACTGCAAATCTGCGTTCATTCTGTCCATCATCATTTCGCAGAATTCTTACCTTCTATCAGGATCATCTTTATTTGACTCCTGAACCAACTAAACTCTGTAAGGGTGGTATTTTTTTTTATGTAAAACTCTCAAAATAGATGATTTACTTACATCATTGATGGCGGCAAGTTCTCGAGTTGTCTTATGCGGATTTTCCTCAATCTCTAGAAGTACGTCTACCTGTTTTTCATCAATAAATTTATTATTTCTACCTGGTTTTTCAATATTTTTTACATGTCCAGTATAACGAAAGTTCTTTGCAATTGTGTTAACTGTAGACTACGAAACTTGTTGACCAGGGAATTCATTATTAACATTTCACAAACCTCCTTTTGAGCTCTTGTTTTATTACTACAACCAATCATAGTTAAAATGTCTATTCTTTTAGTCTCCGACAAATGAGCCATAATTAAATTTAATACGCGCACAAATATTATACTCACGTCTTCTAGTAACCTTAAATACCAAAATGGCAGCAGCCTACTAGATTCATATCAATTGTTTATTTGGCTTTTTGACTAATATTTTATTATCTTCAAAGTTTTTTCCCTAATGTTTAGCAGAACAGATACGAAAATACCTGATTTTTTCTAAAGTAAATTTTAAAAGACCAGGCATTATTGCTGATATAAAAGTTATGATAACGGAAGAAATTAACAAAATAACCCCCGAGGTCATACAAAATGTTGTATGAGAATTCCAAAATCGCTTCGATTATCATCAAGAAGTGAATAATAGTGGTCAAGTTGAACATTTAATTTAATATTGTAAAAATTAATTTTGTAAGTTATAATTGCACAAATTCAAAAAACTTTACATTGCTGAACAGATGATTAAAATCCCTTTCTAACAAGGTGCTATGCGAACCCCTTTGCCATTTAAAATTTTCGAGGGGGTGCTTATAATTCAAAGGGGGTGCTGGAGGGGGATATTATTTTCATACTGTAAATCGTAAATTTAAGAATAAAAATTGACCTGTTTCAGGTTTGATTCACATAGTACATAATAACGCTAAAAATGAATTTATTCCATACATATGGACCACATGGTATACAAAAATTAAAACAATTATTGTTCGTTGTGTAGAGTTGTCCGTTGTATTGATCTTTAATTATACAGTTTAGTACATATTTGCATAAATCTATACATAAATACTGATGTAAAAAAAGGTAGGTATTACTTCTTTAAAAAATAATCAATTTTGGTTTGTTTTCTTGTTTTGTTTTTTTTATTTTCTTTTTCACTTTCTTTCTCACTATCTTTTTCACAATTTTTGACTCAACGTTTAGAATTACATCAGATATTTCTTGACTTACTTTTGCATCACCTTTATATATAAAAAATAATTGTAAGTCTCTTAATTTTAGGTAGGCATCGTTTAAATTACACAGTGGTAGTAAGTTCTAATTCACCGTGACTCTCATTGTCGAAAACATTACACACCTGTTTGTTTTCTTTAAAATCACTAACACAACTAGCTAAGTTTGCTTCAGGATTTTCCGTCAATAGGGCTGCATCAATCTCTAGTTCAAAATATGTTCAACTCCATGACTTTTGCAAAAGGTTGATAATGACAAATTATCTTCCAGGTCTTGTAGCTCCAGATTTTCCACAGTTTCTTCTCCATTAGTATGCATATTAAAACCGCACATATGAAACACTTTTCAATTGTTTTGGTTTAAACATCTTTCCATGCTGCCACAATCCAAATTAGGGCGTTAGCAATCGCTATTGACCGTCTTAGTTTAGCCGTTGGTAAAGAACATTTTATAGATGATAACATTCTTCTCCTCAGAAACTTTCTATACAGGGATTTAAACCTTCTAATTATTCCTTGATCTAACGGTTGATAATGTTCTGTAGTATTAGGTGGCAAAAATATTATCGATATGTTTTATAACTGAATATCCGGATGGACTGTTGCGTTGTCTAGAAATAAGAGACATTTTCTTTTTTGATGTTGCATTTTTCTGTCAAATTTGTGTAGCCAATCTGCCATGATATCTCCTTATTTAGGCTTTCTTGTTGTAGTGCCAGTCGACTTGGATTTTACCAACATTAAAATTCTTAAAACATGGAGGATTTTTACTCTTACCAGTGAGAAAAGATTTTTCTTTTTTCCCATTTAAATTTGCACAAAATAATATGGTCAGAATTCTCTTAGCAGATTTAACCACAGTGCACTTTTTATTACGAAATGTAAACGTTTTATTGATTAACTTTGATTAATATTTACAGCTTATTCAGAAATTGCTGTAAATTTAATGTTATGTGAACCACTGGAAGCATTAAAATGCAAAAGCCGCCTCTAAAGCTATTTCTTTTATTATTGGTCCAGATAATGGAATGTTCTTACTTTTCACTTTACAAAACCAATCCTACACTAGTGTATTGATGTTAACATCTTCAGTTTTAATCCTCCTTTTTTGTTAAACGTTTCCACTTTCACTTTACCACTTTCTTAAATCTGCCTTTTTCTTTGTCATTATCATAAGTTTTGAATTTGAGACTTTTCGGCAAAAACTCGAACATTATATTAATTTTTTTCAGGTGCTTCTATCACCGATATGTTTTCCTTCAAACTTAAAAACTTTCTTTTAGTTGAAGACATTGTTACTCTTAGATCAGATTATCGCAACTAAATAAGAAATGTGTACAAAGGATAAATAAATACTATAATAGATTTTTCCAAATCAAACTCGATCTACCTAAAGTACCTAGTTTTATGACCATAAGTCCGACTTATATAATATGTAATAGTTTTGACCTATGTATACATATATATATAAAGACCCACTAGTACTTATAAGACCTATATACTACCTACTAGTACTCATATAATTGGTTTTATGGCTACAGTACGTTATGTACCTATTTGGATTTCCGGGGCCCCAATTTTTATTTATTTTTACACACAACAGGCCGTTAAGGCCTAGGGCATTTTTTTACAACATAATCCTAATATTAACTAATTACAATTATTTTAAACAAAACTTTAACTTAAATATGTATATATAACATTCTTAACTAGTCTGTAGAACCTGGTGTACAATATTTCTTCATTCGCTTTTATTTTGTGCTTTTATTTTCCAGTCCCTCACCTTCACGTATTTAAGGTCTTCCTCCACTTTACTAATCCACCTCGTTCTGGGTCTACCTCTTCTTTTGGGGCCGATTAATTTTCTGGTTATTACTAGTTTAGACATTCTGTTTGCTGTAGTTCTTTCCACATGTTCCAACCATCTGACTTTTTATGCCTTGACGAATTTGGTAATAGTAGGTTCTTTGTATAAAGCCATTAATTCATTGTTGATTCTTCTCTCCCAACCATCTTCTGTCTTCCGTCCTCTGAATATGCGTCTCAATATTTTCCTTTTCCATCTTTCCAGGGCATCCTCTTTCTTCTTATTTAATGTCCATGTCTCACCGACATATGTTACTGTGATTCGAATTACTGTTTTATATATTCTGAGTTTACCTTGTCCAGAAACGTATTTTGAGTTCAGTAGGGCTCTTAACCTACCTTATTTTTTATTCCCTGTTGCT